AGCTGGGGAGTCAGGACGCTGTCACAGGGGAGCTGGGGAGTCAGGACACTGTCACAGGGGAGTTAGGGTCAGGACACTGGCACAGGGGGAGCTGGGGAGTCAGGACACTGTCACAGGGGGAGCTGGGGTCAGGACACTGTCACAGGGGAGTTGGGGTCAGGACACTGACACAGGGGAGTTGGGGTCAGGACACTGGCACAGGGGGAGCTGGGGAGTCAGGACGCTGTCACAGGGGAGCTGGGGAGTCAGGACACTGTCACAGGGGAGTTGGGGAGTCAGGACACTGTCACAGGGGAGTTGGGGTCAGGACACTGACACAGGGGAGTTGGGGTCAGGATGCTGTCACAGGGGGAGCTGGGGAGTCAGGACGCTGTCACAGGGGAGCTGGGGAGTCAGGACACTGTCACAGGGGAGTTGGGGTCAGGACACTGGCACAGGGGGAGCTGGGGAGTCAGGACACTGTCACAGGGGGAGCTGGGGAGTCAGGACACTGTCACAGGGGGAGCTGGGGAGTCAGGACACTGTCACAGGGGGAGCTGGGGAGTCAGGACACTGTCACAGGGGAGCTGGGGAGTCAGGACACTGTCACAGGGGAGCTGGGGAGTCAGGACACTGTCACAGGGGAGTTGGGGTCAGGACACTGGCACAGGGGGAGCTGGGGAGTCAGGACACTGTCACAGGGGGAGCTGGGGAGTCAGGACACTGTCACAGGGGAGCTGGGGTCAGGACACTGGCCATGGAACCTGGCGTAGACCCCAACTCTGGCTCTTTGGTTACAATAGGGAAACTGAGGAGCAGGAGCAGCCTGCACTCAGAGCTGACCCAGGACTCTGCTAACCCCCTTGTTGCAACTGGGTGCCCTGTCCCCCTCACTGCTGTCCCTGTCCCCCTCACTGTCCCTGTCCCCCTCACTGCTGTCCCTGTCCCCCTCACTGTCCCTGTCCCCCTCATGCTGTGCCCTGTCCCCCTCACTGTCCCTGTCCCCCTCACTGTCCCTGACCCCCTCACTGTCCCTGTCCCCCTCACTGCTGTCCCTGTCCTCCTCACTGTCCCTGTCCGCCTCACTGTCCCTGTCCCCCTCACTGTCCCTGTCCCCCTCATGCTGTGCCCTGTCCCCCTCACTGTCCCTGTCCCCCTCACTGTCCCTGACCCCCTCACTGTCCCTGTCCCCCTCACTGTCCCTGTCCCCCTCACTGCTGTGCCCTGTCCCCCTCACTGTCCCTGTCCCCCTCACTGTCCCTGTCTCCCTCACTGTCCCTGTCCCCCTCACTGCTGTCCCTGTCCCCCTCACTGTCCCTGTCCCCCTCACTGTCCCTGTCCCCCTCACTGTCCCTGTCCCCCTCACTGTCCCTGTCCTCCTCACTGTCCCTGTTGCCCTCACTGTCCCTGTCCCCCTCACTGTCCCTGTCCCCCTCACTGTCCCTGACCCCCTCACTGTCCCTGTCCCCCTCACTGTCCCTGTCCTCCTCACTGTCCCTGTCCCCCTCACTGTCCCTGTCCCCCTCACTGTCCCTGTCCCCCTCATGCTGTGCCCTGTCCCCCTCACTGCTGTGCCCTGTCCCCCTCACTGTCCCTGTCCCCCCACTGTCCCTGTCCTCCTCACTGTCCCTGTCCCCCTCACTGTCCCTGTCCCCCTCACTGCTGAGCCCTGTCCCCCTCACTGTCCCTGTCCCCCTCACGCTGTGCCCTGTCCCCCTCACTGTCCCTGTCCCCCTCACTGTCCCTGACCCCCTCACTGTCCCTGTCCCCCTCATGCTGTGCCCTGTCCCCCTCACTGCTGTGCTCTGTCCCCCTCACTGCTGTGCCCTGTCCCCCTCACTGTCCCTGTCCCCCTCACGCTGTGCCCTGTCCCCCTCACTGTCCCTGTCCCCCTCACTGTCCCTGTCCCCCTCATGCTGTGCCCTGTCCCCCTCACTGCTGTGCCCTGTCCCCCTCACTGTCCCTGTCCCCCTCACTGTCCCTGACCCCCTCACTGTCCCTGTCCCCCTCACTGTCCCTGTCCCCCTCACTGCTGTCCCTGTCCCCCTCACTGTCCCTGTGCCCCTCACTGCTATCCCTGTCCTCCTCACTGTCCCTGTCCCTGTCACTGTCCCTGTCCCCCTCACTGTCCCTGTCCCCCTCACTGTCCCTGTCCCCCTCACTGTCCCTGTCCCCCTCACTGCTGTCCCTGTCCCCCTCACTGTCCCTGTCCCCCTCACTGCTGTCCCTGTCCCCCTCACTGTCCCTGACCCCCTCACTGCTGTCCCTGTCCCCCTCACTGTCCCTGTCCCCCTCACTGTCCCTGTCCCCCTCACTGTCCCTGTCCCCCTCATGCTGTGCCCTGTCCCCCTCACTGTCCCTGTCCCCCTCACTCTCCCTGTCCCCCTCACTGCTGTGCCCTGTCCCCCTCACTGCTGTCCCTGTCCCCCTCACTGTCCCTGTCCCCCTCACTGCTGTGCCCTGTCCCCCTCACTGCTGCCTCCTGGGCCTCTGGCCACTGCCCACATGGCTTCCCCGGCTTGGCCCCCATGGTGGCTGGTGGGAAGCAGAAGGTTGGGCTCTGCGCATCATGCCAAAGGAAGACACCACCCTGCTGCTGGCTACAGAACATTCCAGCAGCCCCAGTGGGGGTGTGGGGCAGGAAGGCGCCCCACCCACTGCCACCCTCCCCGCCGCCAGCACGCACTTGTCTCCAGGGCGGTCAACCTGCAGGTCTTCCTCAGGCCCATCTCCAGGGTCCGGACCCCAGTTGCCTGCCGGGTCAGGGCTGCCGAGGCCCCTGGTGCCGCCGGGTCGCAGCTGAAGGTCCCCATGGCACACCGGCCAGGGACCTGGAGCATCTCTCCAGGCCTCTGCTCTGGTGCCTCAGGCCAGCACTATCCCCAATCCCCACAGACAGCTCATGCTGGCCAGGCCCTGTTCTTGCCACACCCCTGGCACACAGGGGCCCCTTGTCCCTCAGCTGGCCTGGAAGTAGGGCTGGGATCCGGTGTCACCGGGTGGCGGGAGGATCAGGAAGGAACTCAGTGTCAGCAGAGCAAGTCCCCAGGGAGGGCAAGGCTGCATGGCCCCATTCGACCACAGTCCTGGTGAGATGTGGGTGTTGACACCATGGTCATTCCTTAACCCACAAGCACTCACAAGCGCCTGTTGTGTGCCACGCTGTTGGGGTGGAAGGGACAGTGCCAAAAGAAAAAAAAAAAACAGCAAAGGAGCTACATTCTAGGGAGGGGACAGAAAATGCAGATGCACCTGAAGGACACTGCAGTGGTGTCTGCTAGAAGAGCGTGGCCACTGCAGTGTGGGACCAGCAAGGCACAAAAGTGAGGAGGGCAGACCACAGACGTGAGGGGAAGGTCCGAGATCAGCAGCAAGGGGGAGGGAGCACAGCACTGTGGGGGGGGACGGGACAGGGACAGTGACGGGGACAGGGACAGTGAGGGGGACAGGGACAGTGAGGGGGTCAGGGCTCAGCAGTGAGGGTTCTGTCCACTGCATGAAGGGTTGGAGCCCAGCACAGGTGGACGGCTGTTGTGCTCTGGCGGACTGGAGCTGGGCCAGTAGGTGTCCTCCAGGACTGTGCCTTGGGAGCCGGGTCTCTTCCTCCACTAGGGTGGACACCGGGTCGGTCCCTCAGAGGCTCGCGGACCCTGGGCAGTTCACGTTTGTTTTTCCCCCGTCCCAATGGCTTCTGTACTGCTGCGCCCTCTTGAAATGGAATTTCAACCTTTCCTTGAGCTGGAATCCCCTACAATTGGATCTCCCCATTGTGTCGTGGCCTTGGGAGGCTCCAGGGTCAGGGTGGACCCCCAGGGCGCGTAGCAGACAGGACGTGATACACTTGGGAGACACTTCCTCAGCGTTTTTATATTTTATTTCAGTCAGTGTCATTAAATCGCTGAGCCTGGCCTGGGACTTGTGATCCTCCTGCCTCAGCCTCCCACGGGTCTGGAACTTCAGGTGTGCACCACTCTACCCACCCACAACGTGATCTTTTTTAAATATTTTATTTTTTAGTTGTGCTTGGACGCAACACCTCTGTTTTATTTATTTATTTTTATGCACTGCTGAGGATGTGATAGACCCAGACTGATTTTCTCTTGATATTGGGAGCCATCTCGCCACAAAGCCATTGAGAGGTGATTTCGGCTTTCCTATAAATTACTGCAAATTCTGAACCTGCCTGGAATGCCTGCCCGGGCCTTGAACTCACGCCTGCCTGGCTCTCTGACCAGACAGCAGCCCTCTCTGAAACTGTAGTGAGGCCCCATCAGTCTTGGCCTTCCCTGGCCAGATCATGACCCTCTCTGAGGCTCTAATGACCTTCATGAATTCTTACGTCGGGGCCAGCAAAAACGTAAACTAGCCTCTGTGTTATGCTCCTCAGAGTTTTGTCATCTGTGACACACACACACACACACACACACACACACACCCCGTGTGTGACTTTCTGGGCTATAAAGCTGGGCTGCAGGAAAGCTGTGGGGCTCTTGTCCCCGAGGTTCTTGTTGGGAGAGGCAGCCCGGCCGGTTGGAATCATAAGCTGGCTTTACTCTGACTTTAATTGGAGTCAGTGGTCTTTTCCTGCGTCCTGGTCTAACAAATGGAACCCAGGGCCTCACACATGCTAGGCGAGCGCCCTGCCACCGAGCCCCAACCCCAGCCCACCGACAATGCATCTTGATGCCAGACAGAGGACTGGGATCAGAGCAGGCACATGCACCTCAGGTGCTGGGGTGCCCTCTAACGCCTGTGGGGGAGACCAGACCATGCAGAGAGAGACCTGGGGTGGGGCAGCCGCTGCAGAAATCCAGAGGCAGAGAGTGGGAGGCTGGGAGGGAGGCGGGGAGGCTGACAGGCACAACCCAGGAAGGATGAGGATCCCCGGCAGTGGTGCCTGCTCTGTGCTGCAGCTTCACCAACAGCACTAGCCAGCAGGTTTGATAGGGAGGGGTAACCAGGGGAGTCGGGTTGTCTCCAGGATCATTGCCGCAACAACCTGTTGTTTGTCAAACTCACAGACAGACGACACAAGATGAACCCTTCTACAAGTATGGCCTCCTCGTGGATCAGGAAGTGACAGCAGAGCTCAGGAACCGTGAAGATGGACCCTCTGGAAAGTCATGTCACAGTGGGGATCAAAGACAGGGGTTAAAAGATCATGAGTTCAAAGCCAGCCTCAGGAACTTGGCCAGGCCCTGTCTGTAAATAAAACATAAACAATGGCTGGGGATGTGGCTCAGTGCCTGAGTGCCCTGGGTTGAATCCCGAGTACCAAAACAAAAACAAAACAAACAAACAAACAAAAAAACTCCACTGAGATTCCATGTCATTGTGGTAGAATGGCACTCTTCAAGAACACAAATAATAACAAACGCTGGCAAGGATCTGGGGGAAATTTACAGTCGTTCATTGTTAGTGGGACTGCAAATCAGTGCAGCCACTCTGGAAAGCCGAATGAAGAGTCCTCAAAGAACTCGGAAGGGAACTACCATGTGACCCAGCTATGCCACTCCTGGGTATTCATCAAAAGAACCAAAATCAGCACCCTATCGTGACGCAGCCACCTCAATGTTTATAGCAGCACAGCTCACAATAGCCAAGCTGTGGAACCAGCCCAGGTGGCCATCAACAGCTGAATGGATAAAGACAATGTGGCACAGATGGTTCTCTACTCAGCCAAAAGAATTAAGTCATGGCATTTGGCAGTAACTGGGAGGAGCCGGAGAACATGATGCTAAGTGAGATCAGCGAGGCTGGGACAGGCCAGGGCCAAGTGTTCTCTCACGGTGCAAGTGGAGCAAGACGAAGGGGACAGGCAGGGGACTGGACATCACAGGGAAGCTCGGCGCAGAGGGAAGAGGGCGGCTGGGTGGTGCGCAGGGGAGTGGAGAGTGTGGAAAGCGTTCAACAGATGGCGCTGTGCGTGTATAAATGGACCTCCTGCATGGGCATCCACACAGCACCAACACAACCAAGCCAGTAAATGAGTGGACGGGGGCAGCACAGTTGCGGAAGAGGGCGGTTGGGGTCACTGAAACACTAAACGGAACTCCAGGCATGTGTGGTCATGTTGAAAAGAACCCACCCCTGGGCACCCCCACAACGCACCAACAAGGAAAATGGGCCTCTGGCGGAGCGTGGACGAGGAGCTCAGTGCAGGTGCCAGAGACCTTGATGCTCAGCTCTGAAAAGAGGAATCTGCACAAGTGCCAGCGCCGCAGGTCCCCGAGCAGGAACCTGCCTGCCCAGAACGGGGTCCTGCAGCCAGGCTCGATGAAAACAGGGATCACTGTGAACCCTCGGTGTGTGCAGTGTCTTCAGAAAAAAGAGAGAGAGAGAGATCTGGGACACTGAGACACTCAGAAGGCCACAAGACATGGGAGGCAGAGGTCACAAGCCGGGGATGCCAGAGCCACGGGATAGTGAAGGAGCTCCACTGGGGCCCGGGGGAGCACACCCCACAGACAGGGTCCCGTCTCCTCTGTTCAGGGACAACACACTTCGCTGTGGCTTAGTGAGAAGGATCAATAGGAGTTTTCTGGGCAGAGAAAGGAGGATAAGGTTTCAGGAGAGGCAACGGCCCACAGGGTGTGGAGTCTGACGGACAGGTGGGGCAGTCGGAGAGGGACGTGAGACATGTCCCAGACTGGACTGCCACGTTCAAGGTGGACAGAGTGGTGCGAGGCCCAGGGTCTCCTGACAGAGGGCTCCCTAGCACCGCCCCTCCCCCAGTGCCCTGGGTCCAGGGTCACCCTGGGCAGGCGGCTGTGAAAACCCTTAGCACCCTGCCTGCCCAAGATGGTCCACCGTGGTGATCCCCTGGCCATCACCCTGCCCACCTGGCCATCACCCCATCCCCTGGCCATCACCCTGCCCACCTGGCCATCACCCTGCCCACCTGGCCATCACCCCATCCCCTGGCTATCACCCTGCCCACCTGGCCATCACCCTGCCCACCTGGTCATCACCCCATCCCCTGGCCATCCCCCTGCCCACCTGGTCATCTCTCATCTCCTGGCCATCTCCCTCACCCCTGGCCATCACCCTCCCCCTGGCCATCACCCTCCCCCTGGCCATCACCCTCCATAGCAGTGTCTGCAACTCCTATCCCTCCTCCTGGAGGCCAGTTGCCACAACACCAGTCCAGCTCTACCTGGGCACTGCACAGAAACACTGACCCCACCCCACTGTGTCCAGCACAGAGCTGTCCCTAGGCTCACCTCGACCACTCTCCTGGCTGCCGCAGTCCGGCTGGCTGCAGCAAAATAACCGGGGGGTGACGAATAACTTGTGTACCTTGATACAGCAGGAGTGGGAGCCGTTTATTGTAGGACAGGAGCAGTATTTATACATTCCACACAGCTTATCTAATTAGCATAAACTAGATACATCAGTCAACCAATCAGGAATCTCCACACTTAATGGCTCGCTTTTGTTACTTCTCAAACCACTCCCTCTGGCATTTTGCCAGGCACCATCCAGACTTGTTTACGAATTCTAACATTCCCCTGGCAAAATGCCAGGTGTTATTTTGACTTCTTTACAGACTCTAACATTTCCCCCTTTTGTTTAATTTAAATAACGACCATAGTGGTTTTTACAGAAACACCATAAATAACCTGCTACAAACAGAAAGGGAGGATACAAAATGCCACAATACCAAGCCAATTGATGGCTCCATGCAAGAAGCCCTTGGAAAAATTATACCAGCAATGACACCATTTGCAAAGATACCGAGTTACAATTTGTTATAGATTACAGTTTGTTGTCTCAGTCCAGGTAAAGCAGTGTCTCAATAGATTAACTCACAGTCCCGGTAAGTTCTGCAGGCAGCTAGCTTAAATCACAGTCCAGGTAAGTTCTGCAGGCAGCTAGCTTAAATCACAGTCCAGGTAAGTTCTGCAGGCAGCTAGCTTAATCCGAAGTCTCATCCGTTTTTCAGCCAAAGTTTCGTCCGGTTTTCAGCAACACTGGAAATTCTTCCACCCTCGTTTTTCACCGGCACTGGGACGAAGGCAGGAACTCCGGATGGCTAAAGAAAATCCTGTAGTATTCTACTAAGAAAACAACCTTCTGAACAATTTAGTACATTATCTCAAGGTTTTTTTTTACATTTGAAATAAGCCTTAATAGTGCTCATTACTCATCAGCTTCCAGGTGTGGGAGAACCATTGTAGCTTAGTTATTGGCATTGAAAATGACCAAACATCAGGGACACCAGTAGCGTCTTCTGCTGGCTGTAGTGCCTGGGCAGCCCCAGATGGCCCTGGGGAGTGTCCCGGACTCAAACTGCTGCTGGGCACAGGGAGCAAGAGCCTGTGAGACTGTGCCTCCAGGTCAGGTCTAGATTTGGGCTCGCAGCAGTGGAAGAGCCAGCTCCCCGGCCAGGAGGCGGGGAAGGGCCAGTCACCACCGCCTCTTGGAAAATCCTTGCTGCGCTGTGACTGGCTTGCACACTCGGCAGCCGCCTCTCTGCTTCATGCACCCTCCAGTAACGAAAAGTATTTAGTAATAGCCTTTTGCTGCAACTTTTTTCCTGATAATCCTTCCTCCTCTGATAATCTTTCTTCTTCTGAACTTTCTTTTTCTTTCTGACTAGAGTTCCTGGGCTTCTATCAACACATGCCCTAACTATTCTTGGTTCCACTGGGGTGCCTTCTTCCCTTAGTAATTTACTTCTCACCCCTTCCATATTTTCCTCACAAAGACAATACAATACACTGAGACAAAACAAGACACAAACATACTGCATCAATCTTCTCCATTTTCTCAAAATGGCCATTTTTCCTCTCGCCCTATCTGCCTAGGGACGAGCAGATTTGCTCCCATCCTATCTATGGACAGGCAGCTTTTTTTTCGTCACTTACCCCCGAGTGTCCCGCGGCTCCCCGTAACGGGCCATTTGGCGGCTTGTACGGGGAACTTCTGAAGCTTGGAGGTAAGTGAAATTGCTCGCCCCTGAGGAAGAGCGAAAGAATGGGTGACCAACTCAAAAAACAATGTGTTATTGTTTTGATTTATCTTGTTTTTGTTTCAAGCTGCCTATCCCTAGAAATTTCTCAGGCAAACTGGAAAAAATGGTTGACTAAAGGTTTGAAGTTTGTCGGCCCTGAGGAAGAGAAAATTGATACAACGATTTTTTATTCCGTTTTTGTTTCATTCAGTTTCGGCTTTGTTTTGTGCTATCTTATTGGGTTGCGTTATCTTTATAGTAGATTAGAAATTAGTAAAAAACAAACCGAAAAGATGTTAAGTAAATTGTTAGAGGTTCAGACCATGGAGAAAGACATTTTAGATCAAGCAAAAAAGAAGGTCTCTCGAGCTAGTCAGACAGAGGAAGAAAATTTAAAGGAAAAGGGGTTGTTAGGAAAAAGGCCACAACAGGAGGGTGTTACTAACTCCGTTTTATCACAAGAGGGCATAATTCAACCAACAGCCCCACCGATGGAGACAGCTGAGTGGCCCTCAAACCCCGTAGTTGATAAATGGGATCCTGAGACAGGACCTCAAAGATTAGCATGCCCTGTACTTGAACAGGCAGGAGGGCAGCGAATTCACCATGCTTTAGATTTTAAAACAGTGAAGCAGTTAAAGGAGGCTGTAACAACCTATGGCCCCCAAGCTCCCTTCACGGTAAGCATGGTCGAGTCCATTACTAACTTGGACATGACGCCAGCAGATTGGGCTAGCATGTGTAAATCTGTACTAAATGGAGGACAATATTTGTTATGGAAGGTTGCCAATGAGGAATTTTGTGCGGAGACAGCTAGGCGAAATGCAGCAGCCAGTTACCCTCAAAGAAATCTAGATATGTTGTTAGGAAAAGGACCTTATGAGGGTCAACGGCAACAAATTGAATATGATCCTGCTATATATGCACAAATTGCTGCAGACGCAGTTAGGGCATGGAAGACTTTACAAGGACATGGAGATTTACAAGGTCAGCTATCTAAGGTAATACAGAGAGCTAATGAACCTTACGCTGACTTTGTAGATAGGCTAAATCAAACGGCTGCCAAAATTTTTGGGGATACAGAACAAGCAATGCCATTAATAAAGCAACTGGCTTATGACCAAGCAAATCGTTGCTGCAGAGAGGTTATTAGACCATGGAGACATGAAGATTTAAACACATATATTAAATTATGTAGAGATATTAATGAACAAGGGCAAGTCTTGGCAGCTGCAGTACAACAGGCTTTAGATGCCAGGCCAAAAACATGCTATGATTGTGAACAAACAGGACATTTTAAAAGGAATTGCCCCATAGGAGGAGGGTTTAACAAAAGTAGGTATCAAAGGAATAGAATACCGGGTATTTGCCCACGATGCCGTAGAGGGAGACATTGGGCTAATGAATGCCGTTCTCAAACCACCATTGAGGGTACTCCTTTATCAAAAAACGGACAAAGACCAGGTATTTATCCACGATATCGTGGAGAAAGGCATCAGGCTCCATTGCCAAAAAACGGACAGGGGGGCCCAATGCTCCGGGGCCCACAACCACAAATATACGGGGCAGTGGAGGATCTCAGCAGCACCATCAGGGTAGTGCCCAGGACACACTGTCCATTAAATCCCTCATCAGACAAACCCGAGGGAGCGCAGGGTTGGACATCTGTGCCTCTGCCAGAGCAGTATTAACTCCAGAGATGGGAGTTCAAATCATTCCCACAGGAGTAAAAGGACCTCTTCCCCAAGGAACAGTAGGCTTATTACTGGGACGTAGTTCATCTACATTAAAAGGACTTATGATAAGTCCTGGGGTAATTGATCCCGATTATGTAGGTGAAATAAAAATTATAGCTAGTTCTCCAAGAGGTATATCAGTAATTTCACCTGGAGATA